ATTGTACCATTTCACAGCTCCACCAACAATGTGTCTCTTTCTACAACCCCTCTTGTATTGATTGTTGCCATCTTTTTGGTCATTTTTGCCCATTTATGAGGTGTGAAACTTCAATGTTGTATTTCTCGTATTAGTGATTTGGAGTATTTTTTCATGTAGTTGTGAATACTTTGTAGTTCTTGGGGAAGATATTCAGGTTTGTGTTAAACTGGATAGCTTTTTTTTTCTTCAAGGAAACTTTTTTTAAATATATAATAACTTTATTATATATTTAAAAGGAAAATTGTACGTAATAGTTTTGGAGTTTCTTGTGCAATCATCCTTTTTATTATACTGTTATGAAAATGCTTGTTTTATTCCATAAATTAAAAATAAAAATTTAAAAAAATCTCACTTCTTGGGATGAGAATAATTCTAAATAAACTTTGTGTAGAGAACTCACGGAGCAGCTAGGTGGTACAGTGGATAGAGTGCCAGGCCTGGAATCAGGAAGACCTGAGTTCAAACCCTGCCTCAGACACTCACTGTGTGACCTTGGGCAAGTCATCTAATCTTGTTTGCCTCAGTTTTCTCATCTGTAAAATAAGTTGAAGAAAGAAATGGCAAACTACTCCAATATCTTTGCCAAGAAAACACGAAATGGGAGTCAGACACTGAAGCAACTGAATGACAACAGAGAATTCAGACTTCTGAAGATGCTATGTCAGGCAATCTTTAGTAACTTCTGGTTAAAAATAATTAGTTTGGTGTTAATAAGCTAGAGTTATCAAACTATTTGGCACTTGCTTTATTTGGAAGGACTAATCTGAAGCTAGGCCATTTCTCTTTGTTTTTTAGTATTTTATTTTCCCCCAGTTACATGTAAAAATAATTTTTAACATTCATCTTCAGAACTTTGAGTTCCAAATTTTCTTCCTTCCTCCCTCCCTCATTGAGAGAAGGCAAGCAGTTTGATATTGGTTATACATGTGTAGTCATATCCTGACCTATTCATTCCAGCCTTTGCCAATTAACAATGGGCAGGTTAAGCAGATGGGGGTGGGTCGATCTTTTCTGTAATGACAGTGGGCAGCATGCACACACACTAGCCAGGTGGCATCAAGTTCCTCCTGAGAGGTGTAACCCATGAGTTGAATTTTTTTCTTCTGCACAAAGTATGTAATGTTATCACCAAGAGGTGTGCTATATAGCTGAACACCATAGATTCTTTGCAGCAGATTAATTTATAAACAGATCAGAGGAAGGTAAAGAAATTGGCTTTCTGGAATCCCCCCAAGTCTGAATGATGTGGGTGATCCCAAAGAGCTTTTTCTAGGCCTGGCAGAGGCAGGGGATGTGGTGTCATTCTGGGAGATGCTTTCCTGATCTCAGTCGGCCTCTTCTAGAGGTGGCATAAGCCCGAGAGGCCTCTTGCCCCAAGCCCCTTGATTGACAGTTGGTGGTTCGAATGTCTTAAGAGTTCATTTTATAAACAGAACGTAAAATGCCATAACAATGCAGGCAATTGCCATAGCAGCATGCAGCCTGGTTCCAATCATGGCTGCTTTGTTATTATTAGTCATGTTGTGAAAGAAAACAGACCAAAAAAAAAACTCAGTAAAAATAAAGTAAAAGTATGCTTCAATCTGCACTTGGACACCATTAGTTCTTTCTCTGGGAATGGATAGCATTTTTCATCATAAATTCCTTCAGGGTTGTCTTGGATTGTTGTATTCCTGAGAATAGTTAAGTCATTCACAGTTTATCATCTTACAATATTGCTTTTAATTTGTATACAGTACATTTTACTTAGCATCAGCCCATGCAAGTCTTTCCAGGTTTTTCTGAGAGCATCTTGCTCATCATTTCTTATAGTACAATAAGAATACTATAGTACTATAGTACAATAGTATTCCATCATAATCACATACCACAAACTTGTTCAGCCATTCCACAATTCCTCAATTTCTAATTCTTTGCCCCCAGAAGGGAGCTGCTATCACTACTTTTGTACATATTATATCTTTTGAGATACAGAACTAGTAGTGGTATTGGTAGGTAAAAGGCTATGCATGCTTTTATAGCTCTTTGGGCATAGTTCCAAATTGCTCTACAGAATGGTTGAATCAGTTCACAGCTCCAACAGTGTATTAATGTCTCATTTTTCCCATATTCCCTCCAACATTTGTCACTTACCTTTTCTTTCCTATTAGACAATCTAATAGGTACAAGGTAGTACCTCAGAATTGTTTTAATTTTCATTTCTCCAATCAATAGTGAGTTGAGTATTTTTTCACATGGCTATAGATGGTTTTGATTACTTCATCTGAAAACTGATCATATCTTTTGATCATTTATTAATTGGGAAATGGCTCTTATTTTTACAAATTTGACTCAGTTCTCTTTATGTTTGAGAAGTGAGGCCTTTATCAGAGAAACTTGCTTCAAATTTTTTTTTCACAGTTACTATTGCTAACCATGTTTCCTTCCACCCATTTATTCTGTTCTTTCTCTCCTTTCACTCTGTCCCTCTTGCTTCTGACTTCCTCCTCTCCCAATTCCAATTAAGTCTTTATAGGAATATTTATTGCTGTACTACACAAATTATTCTTGAAAATTGAGAAAAAAAATACTACCAAGTTATTTTGAGAGAAATACATAGTCTTTTTAAAAAATGACTTTTACTTTTATTAAATATTTAATTGTTCAAGTTTTTTCCCCACTAACACAACATTTAAAACCTATTCATATTATTTTAAAAATTTTAATATTTTTTCTAATTACACATAAAAACAATTTTTAACCTTTGTTTTTTAGAACTTTGAGTTCCAAATTCTCTCCTACCCTCCCTTCCCCCATCTTTGAGATGGCGGACAGTTTTATAAAGGTTATACATGTGTAGCCATGTAAAACATTTCCATATTAGTCATGTTGCAAAAGAAAACATCAGAAAGAAAACAATAAAAAGTAAATAAAATAATATACTCTCATCTGCATTCAGATTTCATCAGTTCTTTCTCTGGAAGTGGAGAGCGTTTTTCATCATAAGTCTTTCAAAATTGTCTTGGATCTTTGTATTGTTGGGGATAAGTCATTCACAGTTGATCGTTGTTCTGTTACTGTGTAAAATGTTCTGGTTTTGCTCACTTTGCATCAGTTAATGTAAGTCTTTCCAGGTTTTTCTCAAAGTCTTCTGCTTTTATAGTTTGATAGTATTCCATCAGAATCATATACCACAACTTGTTCAGCCATTCCCCAGTTGATGGGCATCTCCTCAATTTCCAGTTCTTTGTCACTACAAAAAAAGAGCTGATATAAATACTATTGTCCACATAGACCCTTTTCCTTTTTTCTCTTTTTAAATTCCTTAGGGTACAGACCTTAAACTACATAGCTTTTGAAATCCTCTGCAACTCTGAAATGGGATTTTTTAAGTAAGATCCAGTTATTACTCTAGCTTAAGATCTTGCTTTTGTTTTATGTGTGTGTGTATATATATCTTTTTTTTTTTTAAAGGCAATTGGGGTTAAGTGACTTGCCCAGGGTCACACAGCTAATAAGTGTCAAGTGGTTGGTCTGAGGCCGGATTTGAACTTAGGTCCTCCTGACTTCAGGGCCGGTGCTCTATCCACTGTGCCACCTAGCTGCCCCTTGAGGCAGCCCATTCTTCATCCACTAGGCCAATCCAAGCTCCATAAATGAAGTTTTATTATTTCAAATCAAATACTGCGTAGTGAGGAATATTTTGTTTAAACAGAAAACTCAAAAAATTGTATATGTTGCTTTGCCCCACTTACTAGATGACAGATTGAGTTTTCTAAATTGAGACTTTTTTCTGATCCCTCATTTATCCAGTAATCTTAATTATCTGGAACAGATTCTATAACCACAAATAAAAAAAAGCCTCAGAGAAGTCAGCGTGTTATCGCAAAATCACGTGACATTTTTATAATTGATGAGCTTATTTACTCTTTCATTGTACACAATTATATTAAGCTTAGTTGACTTCTTTCCCAACCCACAGGAAACTAGAAAGAATTGGGAGTGGGAAAATGAATTACTAGAGGACAGTATTACTTGGAATTCATAGTTACAGCAAGTGGTAGGGCAGGAAAACTTTTTTTAAAAAAAGCAGACATAAGTATTCAAAAAGCTTAGAATAGAAGTCTGGGGCAACTTTGTGTTGAAACCAGTCCTGTTCATCTCAGTAGCCTCTGAGGGCATCACTATATCACAGTAAGGTATGATAACTTACCTTTGTGATGATATTAAGTCACCAAGAAAAGATTAAATTACCTACATTATACATTCTTCAAAATAGTAAGAGAAGGATATAATCTCACTTATTTACAATCTCTTAGAAACATAAAAATTATTAAATGTATGTGTGTATATGTGTATATATATATATATATAAATGAATATAAATAAGATAAAGTAAAGTTTGACTTTTAATGGAGCAAGCATCTTTTATTTGGGATTGACATAGGTGGAATGCTTTCTAGTCAACTTTCTCCAAAGGGATATTCTCTTAAAAGAAAAACAGTGAGGGAAAACTAATGACACATTGACCATGTCTGACCCCATATGCAGCATTCCACGCCTTTAATCTCTTACCTGTCAACTTTAATAGGAAAGTATGAGTCTTCTGAAATAAAGTTTGGTCATTACATTGAACAAAATTGTGGTGTGTTTTAGTGTTTTGAAATGTTTCTGTGTATATGTAGAAGTAACTATGTTTTCTAAAACTTAATGAGATAGTCCTGAACAAGCATATTTGGTCATTTATCCTTGTTAAATTATCAGTAATAGAATCTTTCGTCAACATAAATGCATGAACAAACTATAGACAGTATAAATTTAGGTATTCCCCAGAGCTTGATACTGTACCTCAATTCTGTTGTCTTATTAAGTCTAGCACTTAATTTTTATATAATTTTATTTAAGTAAACATTTGTCTACTTTGTGTTTTCTTTTATCCCTTAAATTTCAAGAAGGGAATATTTGTTTATATTTTGTAGAAAATGGCTCTCTCTACATAGTAATGGATTACTGTGAAGGAGGGGATCTATATAAACGAATAAATGCCCAGAAAGGTGTGTTGTTTCCAGAAGATCAGGTAACTTTATGTGGACTAATAGTTGTTTTATAGTGTTCTTAAGTATAAAACATTCTAAATTTTCTATTACCAATACAATATTCCTTGGACAATCTGGTATCAATGTCTATTATGTAATATCCTGTTTGTTTTTAGGTCCTGTTGATTTTTCCTTTGCATTATTTCTCTGATTCATCTCTTGCTCTATTATCCCCTTCACGTGAATGAATGAATGATTGCATATTTATTAAGCCTTCATTGTTTTGCCTAGTACAACTACTAGTCTCTCCTACCACTCCCACGTGATGGGATTAGTTCCATTCTGCATACTACTGCCAAACTATTCTTTTTAGGATATGCCTTTTCTCTTACTACTCTGCTTAGAAACTTTGTAATGGTTTCCTATAGCTTACTCTATTAAGATCACAGTCATCTGCTTAAATTTCAAAGCTCTCTATGACTTATCCTTAGCCTACAGTTCATGCATGATTTTTTCCATGTGTTTTTTTCCCCCTCCCCTGTCTCCCCTCTTCTTGATGTAGATCATAAATTATCATTTTGGTTTTATATTGTGTGCAGAAGTGTTCCTATCCTGTCATAAATCCCCCATGATGGATCTGTCCAATGTGCTAAGTCTTGTTTAAAAGTATGTTTTGTTGCACTCACAGTATAATTCTATTAATCTCTTACCATGTGACTAGCCCATTTGCTTTTCTAATAATACATTTCTTGAATGATAGCATTTATGCCACTTCTCATATGTAGATTACCAAAAGGAAGGCCTCTAGTGTGTCAGACAATGGAGAATTCATGGAAGAATGTGGACAAAAATCACAAACGATAAGTCAATGTGAGAGGGTTGCAAAGTATAATGGTGGATAGAGATGATCGTAGTTATGTATATTTTTTGTCATATTTGGGGATAACATTGTGTGCTGTAGGGAGAGACTTTATATACAAGTATAGTAGAAGATAAAATTGAAAGAGTAGATTGGAGTCAGATTACCAGGCTAATTTATTTTAACTTTATTCTTTAGGCAATAAGGAGACGTGAAGATTTTTGAGCTAAGGAATGCAGGATCAAATAAGTACTTAGGAAAATATTTCTTGCAATGGGATGCCGCATTTATTGGAAGAGAGAGTTGTACACTGAATTACTAGTGGTAAAGCTTTTGTAATAGTACAGGTACAAATGACATATTAGGGCCTTAAATAGAATGGTGAAAGAACGAATGGATATGAGAAACATTTCAAAGGCAGTGTCCTTTTTACACAAAATAAGTTACTTGCAAAGGGTGTAGGGCTAAGAAGGCAATGGGCAAGACCAGGGGGTCAGTTAGTATATAGAGGGGTAGGGAAGTGCTATAAAGAAGTAAAGTTTGATCCTGGAAGACAAGCTGTGTTCCAAAGTCTAGAAAGAGGCAGTTCAGTGGGAATGGCATTTGTAAATGGGACTTTGAACATCTAACATTAGTGCATGAAACTTCTGACCTGCTTTTATGTTGCTCATTGTGTGTGGTTGGGAATTATCTTGAAACAGCATGTTTACAGGTAAGGAGAAGGATAGTTCCAGAGGTATAACAAAGTAGACTCCTTATAGAAGAGATTGATTTAGGCCTTCCAGAAGATGTTGACCAGAAGCTGAAGAAAAGTTGAGGGCTCAAGACTATCACATTTCCAGCTTGACTGTAAAAAAACAAAAAAACAACAAAAGAACAAACAACTTTAAAAGCATACATTAACATATAAGAAATTAACATGTGAATTATAAATCATTGCTGCCCATTTTGCTAAGTGGGAAAGCAACACTATTAAAAATTGTTACTTTAAGAAAAGCAAATAGGTCACATTTTTTGGATGCCAGTTGTCTGGTTACTTATTGTGTTGATGGCCATTTCCTTTTTTTTTTTTTTTTGGCTGGCCATTTCTACAGTTGAAAAGTAATCCTAACCTAGAAATGTTTAATGAAATAAAACCAAAAATAATTGATAAAAGGTAAAGCTTTATGGTAAAATGTAAGCAGTTTTTCAAAGTGAGACTATTTGATTATTTTATTTAGATCTTGGACTGGTTTGTGCAGATTTGTTTAGCACTGAAACATGTGCATGACAGAAAAATTCTTCATCGAGATATAAAGTCACAGGTATGTTGATATATTCTACATCTAGAACGAGTAATTTTTTAACAAAATTATGCAAAATTTTAATTACACAGTGTTATAGAATGGGCTTATAGACTGACATAGATTCCCCAGGCTTTGTACATATATAAAACCTTCAAAATTCCCCAACAAAATAAATTTGAAAAATAAACTTTTGATTTTGAAAACAAAACAAGAAAAATGTTTCCATGGAGATATTTCTGCTCTTAAGCTGGATTGCTGATCACAATTTCAGATAGTAATGTTGGCTTACATGTAACTGTTTTGATAAGCAATTACTTATTGCCACTGCCCATACTCCAAGAAAACAGTAGAATTTTTGGTGAGTTTATTCCAGCTGACATTCATTAGAGAACCTTTTGACCATTTCCACTTCCTCTTCTTTTTATCACCCTCATTCCCATTCTGTCTTCTCTCTGAATTCATGTTTGAGGCTATCTCTTTCTTAGTAGATTTTCTTCTCTCACGTTTTCCTCCTTCAACAGACGGAGTAAAAAGACTCATATTTTAGTTTTTGATTAATATTTTCTTTTTTTTTATTATCTCCTTTCCCCATTACATTCCTTTTGCTTCTTAGAAGTTCATTTTGGTTTGTGTTTAGTAAACCTTAGTTGGTTTTTCCTCCCCATAGTCAATGGCAAAGGGTGAAAAGGGTTACTCAGCACCCACTGTAGCTCTTTGTTTATTCTACAATATTTACCTGCTCTCCATTAACTGCCCTAGATTGAGGTTTATGTGGAGTCAGAGCTCTAGATCAGAGCAGATCCCATTCTGAGCCCAGTATTCGTTCACTTGCATATTAACATTTGTTACTCTGAAAGAGTTCTCTGATTTTTGTATATTTTAAGGGTGAAGTTACTTATGTTCCATTAAATCAGAAGTTCTTAACTTTTTTGTGTGTCATGGATCTTTGACATTCAGATAAAGCTTATGGAACCCTTCTCAGAATGTTTTTAAAATTTGTAATCGAAGGAAATGCTAAATTTCAGTTAGAAGCTAGTGAAAATAAAGATGATTGAAAATAAAGATGATTTTTTTTTCCCATCCAAGTTTATAGATCCCAGAAATATATCTACAGATCTTAGGTTAAAAAAAAAACTCTTGGGCCAAACCCACCCATGTTCCTAACTTTACTTCCATTTTTCTAGTGGTTGAGTTTGAGACCTAAAAGTCATCTTCAGCTCTTCACTTTGACTCAGTCCCCTTATCCAATCCACTTCAAAGTCTTGTTGATCCTCCACGGCATTTTTCCATCTTTCCTTTTCCTCCTTGTTTCTTTACTTTCACTACAACCACCGTGATTCAGACTCTCAGCTCCTCTCTCATAGACAATTTAAGTAGTCTAATTGTTGTTCTGAATCTGGTTTCCTTGCCAATGCATCCTTCACACAGTTCCCAAAATGTATTTTTCCTAAAACATGATCTGACCATGTCACTTCTCTTCCAAGAAGCTTCAGTGCTTCCTTCAATTGCCTCTAAGGTAAAATAAGGTAAAATTCTCTCTTGAGGGCAGAGGATGTTTCATTTTTGTCTTGGAATTCCTAGTACCTGGCACAGTATCTGGCATGTAATAGGAGTTTAATAAATAATTATTATTGAGTTAAATTATTGAATTGTGTATTATTTTAAAAATACAGATTCTTTCATCTTTCTTATCTGATTGCATGGTTTTTAAAGTTTGGAACTGCAGCTATATAAAAACACCTTCCCTGAGGTGAACTACAGTAATTTTTAAACCAAGATTCATTATAGAAAATATTTCTTGAATGACATCCTTTTGTGAGCAACAAAGAATAAAAATAACAGTTTTTAACGAACCTAAAGTACTATGGCAGTGAATAAGTAAGTAATCAGTTTATGAGCTAAGCCGTTTTATGCTTGGCTTATTCTTCCACATTGCAGCTATCTAAAAATATTTCCAAACTTGGAAACAAAGGCCTGTGGATAAATTCATATTTCACTGAGTGGACTTTAGTAGAATTCCCCAGGAATAAGCACCAGTTATTTTAACATTTTTATGTATAATCAAGATAGCAAAAAGTGCACACGGCAGCATGATTCCATACTGTGGAAAAAGTGCGCAGTTTGGAATGAGAAGTTCCAGTCCTGGCTTTGCCACTTAGCACCTCTGTAATCTGTAGGAGAGCTCCATTGTCTTCTGTAAAATGAGAGGTTTGTACAAGATAATTTCTAATTAAGGTTCTCTCAAGTTCTGTTTGTGTGGTTGTGCATATAATTTCTCTGTAGATGATACTAAGCCTTTTCAAACAGTTAAATGCCAACAAGGTGATAGAGCTAAACTGAAGGATATGAGCATGAAATACTTGTGTTTGGAAGAGTTTCAGAAATTGTCAACAGCATTAGTTCTTCCTTATATTCTAAAATTTGCATCAATCAGATTCCTACCTAGTGGTCCTAGTTCTCTACTCTTGTTTTAAACAGAATAAGTGTAATCCTTCTTTTGCAATACCCTCTACACATTTGAAAATATTCACATTAAGAATTCTCTTCTCTAAACAATGCCATAGAAAAATGTTAATACTGTATTCTGTGTTGTAGGCACAAAATTTCTAAGAAGCAGTTTTTATTAATTTATCACTAATCTAAGCATTGCTCTGCTTAGAGAGAAATATCCAAAATGACAGGTGTTGTTTTAGTCATCTCTCCACCCAAGTCATTTTGAAGTCCCAATTTCATGGATTCTTGAACAAGGAATATTTTGCATTCAGGATTGAGCAAGGCCCCAGAATTTGGGTAACAGTTCAGTTAACTGTTTGCTTCGTTAAATAGAATAGTAGTTCAACTTTAGGTCCACTCTTGGGAAAAATCATTTTCCTGATGACATATTTTTGACCACTCCCTTCAAGGATTTTCCTTCCCAGCTGGTCAGTAATGGACTATAAATTAAATTAGCTAAAGTAATCTAAGAGATTTCTTCCTTTTCATAGGTTGATCATTACCCTAATACAGTCAAGGTAGATCTATCAAGGGTCCCTTGCTCTTGTCTGGACACTACCCCGATTACTTCAAGGGAGGAGTTCTTCCTAGGCTGATCAGAGAGAGGAGAGCAGAACATTATTTCAGAATTAATAGTCAAAGAAGAACTGATAAGGATTTCTCTTTTAGATTAGTCCAAAGGCTGATCTCAGCAGGATACTTTAAAAATGCTTTCTTAATGTTTATAAAAGGGCCATGTCATGGAGTGGAGGAGCTTAGTCTGCTTTCCAACAGCTGCATCCATACTTTATATAATGTTTTCTTTTTCCTTTTTTTAGTTTTTTCCTCTCTTTTAATATTTCCTTACAGGCATTTATCTCTTCCACTTCTTCCTCCTTCAACATTGAACAATAACAGAAACAAAAGAATAAAACTCCCAACAAATAAATGTGCATTATCCGAAAAACGTGTTCCCACATTGGCCACATCCAATAACGAATGTCTCAGGAAATGAGTAGGGTCTAAATGAGTCCTCTAGAATTGTGTCTTACATGATTTACTTTAATGGCTTTATCTCCTGGAATCACTGAAGTTTTTCAGCTACCATTTTAAAATTCCATAATTAGAAATGAACATAGGATTCTAGATATATAATAGAATCTCAGAGTTGAAAGGGATATAAGAAATAATTTAATTTAATTGGCTTCTGAACCAGAATCCCCTGTACACAACACTAATGTGGAAAGATGTTTAATAGGAATGTGTATGTATAGCTTATATCAGATTGCAAGCAGTCTTGGGGACGGAGAGGGAGAAAAATTTAAAACTCAAAAGTTTATGGAAGTGATTGTTGATAAATCAAAATAAATTAATAAAAATTTAAAAAATACATAAATATTACATTAAAAAAAAAGAATCTCCTGTACAAAGCATGCTCAATATAATAGCCACCCATTTTTGTTTGAAGATCTTCAGTGAAGTGAAATTTGCTGGCTGCCAAAGAAGCCCATTCCACCCTGGAATAGCTTGAAGTGTTAAGAAATTCTTTGTAACAGGTCTACCTCTTTGCAACTTCTACCCATTCCTTGTAGTTCTTTTTTTCTGGGCCAAGCAAAACCAGCCCATTCTCTCATTTGTATTCCAGCCCTCCAAAAACTTGAAGATAGCCTTCATGTCCCAAATCTCCTTCATGTTAAACATCCCCAGTTTTTTCAGCTGACATTCTTTTGCGGGATGTCAGGGTTCTTCACTATCCTGGTTGCCATGCTCTGGATGCTCTATAACTAATCAATATCTTCCTAAAACTGATGCCCTAAACTCTACATAATACTCCAGGACACTTTTTCAGACAAACTGCCATCTAGAAATACATTCACATCTTATACTTCTGAATTCCCCCCAGCCCCAATCCAGTGTAAGTCTTGTATTCTGTTTAAATTTCCTCATCTTAGATTCGGTGCAGTCTTTTAGCCTGTCAAGATAATCTTGGGTCCTGACTCCCTCTATTCCTCTAAGCTCTATAGCATCTAAATGACATATTACCACTTGCCGTGATATTGCACTCTGAGTACCATGGAGCATACCTATATCTCTGTATGTTGTCACTATTAGAATATGTGTTCCTTCCTGAGAGTAGAATCTGTTTTGCTTTTTTCTATTTGTATCCCCAGCACTAGCACTTAATGAGTGCTTCTTCATTTCATTCTCAAATTTGGGAGGTAGTCTGGCCAGTCCCATGAATCTCTTTTTCTGAGCTTTTTTTCTATAGTAACACAACTCAAGATTACATTTAGTTATGTTACACTGTTAACTCATTGAATTTTTAACCAGCCAAAGCCCTCAGTTTTTGTTGTTGCTGCATAAAGTGCTCTCAATCCATATTTAGCCTATTTTAGAGGGCATCAGTTAAACAACAAACATTTATTCAGCACTTACTATGTGCCATGTACTGTTCTAGCCATTAGGAATACAAACACAAAAATTAAACTGCCCTATGCCCTTATATTTTCTTAGAGGAAAGAGTATGCAAACATATACAAAGCATA